TTGAATTGACACAGACATCTTCGGCGATATTTATCTTCTTTTCTAGATGCTCAAATGACCCAATTTTTTTGTGGCATATACCTCGTGTGCAACAGCCTAAAAAAAAAAAAAAAATCAATTTTCTTTTAGAGGGTCGGACATACTTGTCTCCAGAGGAAATCTCCCCAGTTGTCCAACCGGACAAGTTGGACATCCAGAGGGGTCCCCGGACGTCGACCCTGGTAAGCTAGTTAATACAGAAAATAAAACGAACAATAAAAACAACAAAAAACGAAAAGAGGAATAAAATTAGTGAGTGAGCGAGCGCGTTTTCGACACCACCATCTTTGGCAAATTTTCATTTATTTTTGGCACTGCCAAATGCCCAGAAAATTTACAAATGTCTGCGTAACATAATATAATATAATTAAAAAAAAAAAGGTCTGCCTTTTGGACAAAACTAAGCAGGAGGCGCCGCGTCAGCGCTGCGGTCACGTGTCACCTCAGTGGCTGCGTTCCGGCGTTTGGGGGCTCGCTAACGGGGCCGACCAAATCTGTCTGCTTCGACTGCAAAAACTTGGCGCTGGGGTGACCATGGCGGCGCACGGAAGAACACTGGGGTGTCAAGGGGGCGTGCCAAGGGAGCCGGACATGCTCCTGGTTATTGCTGGTCTCACTTGACTACTGTCAGGATTCCTAGTTCGATGGAAGAAGGAGAGAGTGATATGTGGGGGCCATCGGCGGGTGGGTTCCGGATGCTGCACAATACATGAGACCGATCGGGGGTAATGCCCCTCGATCTTTGATATGGAGATTTTTGAAGGGCTCTCCTGCCCTGAGACCGTTGTCAGGGTCAGCCGGTGAAGGTCGGGGAGACAGGAGCTATGGGAGATTGCCGCTGGACTTCTCATGTTCGCTGCACAACGGGGACAAGTGGGGATTTCGCTCACGATCTCCAGCAGGAGCGCACATCGACTTCGTGAATTGGGTGTGCTCACCTGTCGTGGCCCGTGTTAGGGTCAGAGAGAGAGAGAGAGAGAGAGAGAGAGAGAGGCATGTAAGAGCCTTGGGCAAGCTAATAGTTTGATAGTCTATGCTTCATATTAGACTATGGTTGAGGCAATTTGTGAGATCTTTGGTGTTTTCCTTTTTCGCCGTTACGATAGTTGTTGCAATTTGTCATGATTCTTGTGTCCCGCTTTTGCATGCGATGAAATGAAAGTGAGAGTGCCACTCTGTAGAAACACCATTATGGTGGGTGGTTGGGTTTCCTTGTGAGAAGGTGCAGATTGGTGGAAGTGGTTTTCCCTAAATCATGAGGAGGTGGGTGGGTTTGCGGGCTATTTGACCCCTGCCGCACGAGACGTTGAAATTTTGGTCAGGTATTCATTTCATCTTAATAGGCTGATTAAAAATAAAAATAAAAAAAAAATAAAAAACCATCTTAATAGGCTGGTGTCCTGCTGTCATCTGAATTCTTGAGTGAGGCCGAATGGTGAGCATCGCTCCACTGGGGCTTCGCCACGGAGGGCAGGGAAGCATCCGTAGGGGGTGTCTGCAGATTGAGGGCGGGGCTTGCCCTAAATTGCGAGGAGGAGGGTGGGTTTTGCGCGGCTTTTTGGCCCCCGCCACAAGGGAGGTGGGGTAATCCCCTGGTTAGTGAAAACAACATCGTGGTGGGAGTTCGTGTTTTTGTATGAAGAGTGTGGGGAGGTGCTATCCGCTTTGAATCGCGAGAAGGTCGGTGGGTTTGCGGGGTCTCCGTCAGCAGTTTGGGACCTGTGGGCACAGACACCTGCCACGCAGTTTTGGGACCTGTCAGAGGTGGTTTTAACTCTGGATGAATAGAGGACACAGGATCAAGTAGCGCTGAACGCTGGTTTCTTTTCTGTGGTTTTGATTGTAGTTTCCTTTTGCGCATGGTTTTCTTTTCATGGTTGGTGGAATTTGGGTCACTAAATTAGGGTTGTACCTGGTGGAATTTGGGTCACTAAATTAGGGTTGTACCACACCCTGACCGAAGCAGAACAAGGCACCAAGCCTCAGATGATGGAAATCCATCTACTGACAGAGCTTGCACAGGTGTATCTGTGAGGCACACAGGACCATCAGCAGAACAGCCGATGGCATAAAAACGTAGCCACGAGCAGGTGTACGCAGAGTGACTGCACCTACCCAAAAAGGAAACATTCACCATATTTGTTTCCTATTCAAGATCTTCAGCAAGGGGAGTCCTAAGAATAGGAGAGATAGGGACAGGGAATGACAAATGCATAAAAGTTCAGACGGAGACGGGGGGGCCTTCCAGGGCAGTGGTTTTTCATCCTATAAAGGAAGAGAAGCAGGTCTGACGTCAGGGGTTTGAAGCCTGACTTTGTTGTGAGCATTGTGAAGTAAAGCAAGATGCAGGTAGCGCAGGTTACGTGGGCTTTCAAAGATTGCAGTATGGTGCTAACGTCGCAGTGAGGTTCACAAGAAGTTCTGCGGACACTAGCAAAACAGGGGTGGATCAGTGGTACATCCTTCCAGTGAGAGGGGCAATCAACGCTGGCGTGTTGGGGTCTCTTAAACGTAATGGACGCATGGCGAGTATTTGGTCTAAGGGATGCTCGGCCCGGTTTCCAGCTTTATTACAAAAAGGTTGAGAAACCAGTCTTCGCCTTAAACCACCAGTTACTTCCTATAGAGTCATGCCCGTTAACGCGCCACGATTTTAGGAGACGTACGAGCGCTCAAATCCATCCAACTAGAAACGTTTCTACTCTATTCTTTTCCGCGGCCGATAGCTGGGCCATGTACTGGTGATTTAAACTGCCTTTCTCAGTGTTGGGAAAGCGAGGAATATACATCACACCGCATTTTTCGGGGGCCTGGACGAGCATCAGCCAAAAGGAAATGTTCCGGCCCAACGGGGCCATTTGCGGAGAAAAAAAGTAGCAATTGTATCCAAAGGAAGGACGTCGGGGAAGGCCGTAAACCAGCTATGCTCACATCAGTGCTTCGAGGAATGCATATACCCGGTATCGTAACTAGTTTCGTTTTTTCCTTTTGCGTCCGGAGGCTTAGTGTCACTTGTTCCGCAGGCTCTGTATCTAGCTGCTTTTGGTTCCCTAGCGTTTGTGTGCACTTTTTTTTGTTGTTCTATTTTCCTTTTTTCTTTCATTTGCTTGCTAGGAGTACCATAAAAGAAAATACAATGGGACTCAGGCTCGGCAAAGCTCGGTGCGCAGTGAAATTCAGGGTTGGGAAAAACAGGACCGGAGGTATTGCTGGTTTCAAAAGAAAACGAGTGTCCGCCCCACAGCCTATCCTTTCTGGGTTCCCCCTGCCGCATGACTGGCTGCTCCCCGCCAGCAGGGGAACCCTTTCAAAGCACGACTACACCACACATCGGGCCGTGGGTGTCAGCATGAAACCCGCCCCACTTCGGAGGCTGGCAATTTGTTTTTCAACGGCACCCCTGGCTGCACGGTGCCTCCGAGTTTTGCTCGTGGCGACAAAAACTTCCCGTAAGGCTGGGGCCGTGAACTAGTGGTTTAAGAAAGGCCATGGTGCGAGGGGAGGGACGTACCATAGCAGCCACCCCTCTGCTTAGGCAGCTAGTGCCACAAGGGTAAAGCTGATCTACTTCCGACGCTTCTTCCCTTCGTGTTTGCCAGTAATAAGCAACCAGACTGACACCCTGCAGAATAAAAGGCGCAGTGTATTGGTGTCTAGGTTACCAGAGTGGCCCGGGATACTTGCCCGGCCAGGCAAAAAAAAAAAAAAAAAAAGATTTTTAGAATTTATTTTTTATTCTAAATTTGGTGAACAATGTGTTTATTTTTTATTCTAAATTTGGTGAACAATGTGTTTATTTTTTATTCTAAATTTGGTGAAGAATTTCTGTTCTTTTTTTTTTTTTGGTGAAGAATTTCGATGTGACCCTGAGGCAAAAGTTGTTCAGTTTATTTTCTGCATAACATAGTTTCTGTTTCGGGATTTTTTTTTATTTTTTATTTTTTTTTGCTGGGACCTTCCCTGGTCCTTGCACGGGCTGGCCACCCGGGACCCGGGCGGCCATCCTGGTAGCCTAGATTGGGGTTATATATATTTTTAAAAAAAGGGTCTTGAGGCCTAGGGATGCAGCCATGAACATGACCATGGCGTTAAGATAGGTGCTGGGACTGGACAGCCGAACCACTGGACCAATCCCTGACGCGCGTCCAGCCAGTATCACGGAAACCGGTCTCCGGTCTCATCGGGATATCCGAGGGGAAGGCTTTACCTTGGTTGGTCATCAGCATGCTAGCTCCAGCTACGCAAATTATTTGAGTGGACATCAGGGGGGGCACAGCATTGCGCTGAGCGGCACTGACAACAAGGGGGGAAATGAGTTGAGAACGCTAGAGTGTAGTATAGTAAGGCAAAGTGATAACAATGGCTAGTCCGCAGAGGATGAGCCCAGCGTTGTCCGCAGAGGATGAGCCCAGCATTGTTATCATGTTATCATTTACTTATGTTCATAGCTGGAGTGAAGGAGGTTTGTTAGGGGTCTTTGCTTCTTCATCGAAAGACTTCCAATATTCGCAATACTAGACCCCGCAAAACCTCCACACAGCTGAGCACCAGGACAGTGTGTGTGTGTGTGTGTGTGTGTGTGTGTGTGTGTGTGTGTGTGTGTGTGTGTGTGTGTGTGTGTGCTGTCTCTTATACACATCTAGATGTGTATAAGAGACAGGTGAGAGAGAGAGAGAGAGCACAATAAAAATAAACAGAGAAGAAAGCTGAGGAGTATGAAGAGACCGAGAAGAAAGCCAAGGAGTAGACGAAGAAGAGCGTCGAGGAGTACAAATAGACAGAGAAGAAAGGCAAGGAACGAGGATAGACAAACAGACAGCGTAGAAAACATGCATCAGCAAGCCCACCGCAAAGCGAAACAGGCAAGAAATGCCATGAGCAGCAGCTGTGTCCAAAACATGAAATTCGGAGATATTCCGACAAATTACGGCCCAAACAGAGAATGCATCGGAGAAATTCTCCTGCTCCAAAGGCATTTGTTTATTCCGCCCAAGCTCCAGTGAAGGGGAGCGCTGCAGCTTTGTCCCCTTTCCGCCTTTCAGGTTTCACATCCCAAAGCCAGTTTTCGTGGCCACTACAATATCATATCTGCAATCCATCCAACGACAAAGGACTGGCACCGGCGGATCAGAACCATCCATTCCATTTAGTAGGGAGCACAACTCAGAAACGAAGAAAACACCCACACAACAAAGGACTGGCAGTGGCTGGAACAATGTCCCAAGCCATGGAAACAACCGTACCTGACATGACCTCCTGCCATCGCTCCGTGCACGCTTCGTCTCCTGCACCACCTCCCGCCTTTCGCTCTCTCGATATCCACTCCTCCATTCTCTCTCTGCCTCTCTTGCTTAACAAATGCTCCTTTTGCTTCCCTTCTCTCCTGGCCCCTGCTATAATTTCTCCCTCTCTCTCTCTCTCTCTCTCTCTCTCTCTCTCTCTCTCTCTCTCTCTCTCTCTCTCTCTCTCTCTCATCCTCACGGTGAGGGGAAGCCCACCCTTGAAAGTTTTCCCCTCCTCCCTAGCTCTGTGTCCCGCCAACCCCTCGATTCAGTCAACAGAACCTGCATGCATGTGCGGATCTATTTGGCATTCGCTGAATGAGTGCAGCTCCTTGGACGAACACGTCGACTTTATCCTTTGTTCATCCGCAGTTACATGTGTCGCCGTCAAATGGGGCAAATTAACCTCAACTAGGCATCATGCAGCTCATGGCATAAACTTAACCGCGTACCGAGTAAAAGCTACCATATCGGGCAAAACTTGCCTACACTCAATATGCTGTACTCCACCGGGCAAAAACATACCTGAAGCCCAAACTCACCCATACCCATCAAACTTGTTGCACAGAAACAGAAATAAATACAAAGCAATCATTAAAGCCCCGTCCACCGTCTTCTCCAAGCTTCAGCCTCAACTCAGAAGCCATTCTCTTCTTTCCAGCCAAAACATGATTGCACTCTGCAGTGCATCTAGGACTCCCAGGATAAGTACACGTTGGCGGCCTTTATCCCTGCCCTAGTTCTTGTCCTCATCCGCAGCCGCATCAGCGCGAGCATCATCAAAATTCATCTCATCATCACTTGCGAGCTGTCCCACTGTCAAAACCAGTACAGTCCCTCTCATACGCCCAGTTCACGACGAACGCGGCAGTCTGGGCCGGTCCCGGTCCCGGGCCCGGACCTGGACCAGTTCAGTACATACATGGAAAACACCTCGTCAGTCACGACGAACGCAGCATGTCCCGGGCCTGGACCCGCACCAGTCTCCTCATCGAGCAGCCCAGACCCAACCTGCGACAATCCAGAACGAGATCTGAACCGGGTCATCAGGAGCACAGGGAAGCAGGGACGTCACATGGCTCGGCTAATGCTCCATGCCCTTTCTCTGATCAACGAAGACGGGGAAGAAGATAATCACCTGGTATGTTGGCTGCTCGGCGGGAGACGTGAACAACCCAGGGATCCGGCAAGCAACTGGAAGCCGCGACTTGTTCCCTTTTGCCATCCAGCGCCGCAGCGGCAACAAGCCGCCAGCCATTTCCGAGGCCCTCGCGCAGAGAGGAGGATTCATTCTGCCCTGGAACACAAATCTCAACCAGAAGTACTTGTGAATTGCACCTACAGGAAATAGTCTGGAGTGCGTCGCGAGACCTCCGGCTCACCTCTGCGAGGTGCTGGTTCAAACTGCAAAAACGTCCTCTCCATCGACTCGTCAATCTCCATAATCGCAGCCATATTTCCGCACCGATAACAGTAGTTCGGAGCGCTAAACACCGTGACCACATTCTTATCCTGACACCAATTGTAACCCTCCATTACGAGCTGGTGGGCTCGTGATATGAGGTTCAAGCCATTCGTGTGATTAAATTGGTCTGAGATGTCTTGACCGAACGTGTAGCCTGCCCCTCGAGGCGATATTCCCCAGCCAGAACGGTCGTCCGGGTCCGACCAGAGCAGGTCGCACATAGGTCCTTCGTGAGGGACCTGCCAACCAGCAAATCAAGTCGCAATCACATCCGTTAATAGCCGTCGTCGTTTAAAAGGGGAAGGGAAGGGCGGGAAGGAGGGAGGGGAGGGGGGGGAGGGAGGGGAAAGGGGGGCGAGACTGACACAGAGAATTAATTCAAAACAACTCCTTCAGAAATAGCACACCTTTCATGCATCCTGACACAGAACCTCAATCCAGTACTCAACATTCTACATGCATTTGGGCTGCCTTTCAGGACCAGGTGCATTTGAAGGAGTCCAACATTTTGAGCTCCAGATACAGTGTTGGGCAGTGGAGTGAGCCCAATCATCCAGGTACAATTTGTCCACAAGAGACAACATAGAGAGAAGCAAAACTCTCGTGCAAAAGAAACATGGGGCCCCACTCCATTGCTCAGCATCCCGCAAGTACCCAGACTCGAAAATGGACCGCATGCATTCGGCCTGATCAAACATTTTGAGCGCACAAGGACCATTACCAGCCCCAGATGCATTTCGAATGTCGTGTAGTTGAGCAAGGCCCACTGCCTGCTTACCTGCATTCTGAAGCATGAGATAAGTGTGAAACAAACAAACTGCTTCAAAATGTATCCTTTTCACGCAAGAGCAAACAGATGCCGGAAGTCACGACAACAGACCTCGTTCTCGTGACAAGAGCGCGCAAGATGTAGCATAGCGGACAAAACCAGTCCTTATGAATCGCACACCAGACACGACCACCCCTTCCCTCTCTGCCTATCAGGCGCTCGTTCCTCGGAGAGTTTCAGCGTTCCTTTTTTTTTTTTTCCTGAAGGAAGAAATTCAGCTTGATCGACTTCTCAAAGCTAAGTTTTCAGAATTGCCTACCGGGCGTTAACTTTCCGGAGTTTCGAAGTTCGCTGTACTTTATCGTTTTAACCATCTGTTTTTTTTAGCTTTTTGTTCTGTTATGTTTCTTCTGATTTCTCTATTCATAGCGTTAAAAAAAAAAAAGTAAAAAAAAAGTAACTTTTTACAAATTCAAATAATCAATTACCATTGTTTTGTAAAGTTTCGGGAACTCGGTCGAATCATGAACGTAGTCTCTTTTTTTTTTTCTTTTCTTTTTTTTTCTTTTTTTTTTTCGTAGTCTCTTATTATGGTGTTGGATCCTGAGATTTTATCATTTTAATCATTTTATGGTTTTGCCTTTGTTTTCAAACTCCCAACAAGGTTGCCTTGACTTGTGCCCCTCTTATGATTCACAAATGGATTGCTTTATTTAAATTATTTTCTCAGTTTTTTAATGTTTAACCTTTTTTATTTTTTTTTATTTTTTTATTTTTTTAATTTTTTTTATTTTTTTTCCGTAGTCTCTTATTATGGTGTTGGATCCTGAGATTTTAATCATTTTATGGTTTTGTCTTTGTTTTCAAACTCCCAACGCGGTTGCCTTGACTGCCACCCCTCTTATGATTCACAAATGGATTGCTTTACTTAAATTATTTTTCTCTCTTTTTTAATGTTTAACCTGCAATGCTTTACCCCCATGCATGCATGAAAGCTGGAAGCACCCATATGCTGAGACGAAGCAAGCAATTGCGAATTGTTTTTTTGTTTTTTTTTTTAAAACAAACAACACACCTCTTGTATACGATCCAGGGCTCGGATATGGTCCAGCGTGTCCATGGATGGCGACAAACCTCCATGAAGGCAAAAGATCTGTAGCAGTGCAAATGAGAGGAACAGCCAACCGTCAACGCAAGCAAAATGAGAAAAAGTTTCAGCATCAAAAGTCAGTAGCATCATTATCATCCTTGTCACCACACTCGTCACCCGTTTGCGTTTCAGCACACTTGCACATTTTATTTTTATTATTTTATTTTTAGAAAAAAAACTCAGGGCCTCTTCTATTCTGGGGGGCGTCAGTCCGGCCGCTTATCACTGGCAAGCATGTTTTACACAACGGCAGTGGAGAGAAGACAAGGAAAGGGGGCCAAACTAGCCCTTGCGGCACTAGACGCCTAAACAAGGGGGCGCTGCTACAGAGCGCCCATCCCCCAATCTTGATCTCTCTTCGGGGGCTGTTCTACTGGTTGGGATGTTTACCAGCAGCACCCAGCCACGCAGTAGAGCAGCCGCCGGGGGGGAATGGCACGGAGGCAGGCATTCTGAGTAGCCCTTCAAGCCGCATGCCAGTCCTTCACTATTTCTTGACATGCCCAAATCCTCTCCAGCTAGTACCTACTTCCATGTGCATTTCCTATCCTTTCACACTCCTTTCTCACAATACAGTACTTCTTTTTCTTTTCAGACGGCTTTCTCCTCCTCATCGAGGGACACTTGCACCTTATATTTTGACCGTGTCTTAGTCGATGCTTGTTCATATGCATGTAGTAGTTCTGCACAAGGGGAGGGAGGAGGAGAAGAGAGAGGAGAGCAGCAAAGAGACGGAGAAAAGTGCAGGGAAGAGGTAAGGGGAGGAGACAAGGGGGACGGAAGAGGAGGATAGTGGAGGGAGGAGTAGAGTGAGGGGAAGAGGAAACTCATAGGCTCCTTGATAGTCACAGGCAGAGCAGACTCAAGGGTTGGGTCTCTCTCAGGTGTAGAAAACAGAGGCGGTGTCCCTCTTAAATGTTTCAAAGTAGAAAATAACCAAAAAAAACAAAAAGAGTCCACTCAGGGGTCGGGTTTCATCGGTAAATGAGTTGAGGAGCGCAGGTGTTGCCTTTTGTAAGTAGCCACACCTGCAGAGTCGTGCAGACCAGACAGAACTGGTTTGGGTGTCGACTAACAGGAGTGAGAGTAAGCACCGCACCGACTTCTCACATTCACAGTCGCAGCATCGAAGGGAATGGCGATGACAGATGTCAGAGGCGATGGGGCTCTTGCAAGCTAGAAACGCCGAGGCACAGCGACCAAACTCGTACAGACACTGGCTTTAGAGACGATGCTGCTGCTGCTGCTGCTGCTGCTGCTGCAGATGCTGTGCAAGCGTAACGAAGTGAGTGTACATTACAATGATGACAGTCTATAAGGACTTGCATGGGCAATGCCCTTTTTTCTTTTTCCTTTTTTTTGGCAGGAAAAATGCCAGCAGCGTTCTGATAGCGGAAGTGATATGAGCATCTCCTTCTAGAAGATCTGCTGGGTGCTCCAGTTTATTGATGGAGAGCGGCACCCGCTGGAAACCGGGTCCAGCTCCCCTTGAATGGGCTATAGCCATTTTTTTCTTCTTTTTTTTTCGAGGCTTCACTACGCAAAGAATGCCGATCACAGCGCATGACGTGCAGCACCATAGCGCACACAGCCTTTAAACATCGCGCAGCGAGACCATCACCGTAGCGCACCCAGCCCTTCGGCATCACACAAGCCCTCACCCAGCCTGCTGTGCCCATCAGCAAGCTTCCAGCTGCCCCTATGCGGTAAGGCTTCTTCTTCGATGTCTTCTTCTTGCTGAACCAGATCGCAAGGCCCCATGTGCATCAGTGGCAGCATATCAAGGCCCACAATGAGCTGGCGGTTGAAGAAAACATGCAAATTTTCACAACACGCGAGCAATGGAGCGAGGTCCTACCACTCCCACTGCCGGCACGAGTAGTAGAACCTGCCAACAGTCAAAATGATCTTCCTCATTCCGGAAGCCATGCAAAGAACTGGCACGAGTTTTATGCCACAGAGCACATCTACCAGGACAACCATAGTTCTCTCTCTCTCCCTCTCTCTCGCTCGCTCTCTCTCTCTCTCTCCCCTCTTCAAATTCTGTTTTAAAGTTTTCTCCTGGGGAAGAGACTATGCACTCAAGCTTATTATAAAATGATCTTCATCATTCTGGAAGCCATGCAAAGAACTGGCACGAGTTTTATGCCACCGAGCACATCTACCAGGACAACCATTGTTCTCTCTCTCTCTCTCTCTCTCTCTCTCTCTCTCCTCTTCAAATTCTGTTTTAACTTTTAAAGTTTTCTTCTTTTCCCAGGGAAGAGACTATGCACTCAAGCTTATTATTAGAGACAGAACCGGGCAGTGAGCAGTGAATCAAAAACATTCATTTCCACAAAAGTATAAGATGCTACACACCTCCGAGTTGATCAGAGCTGTAAGAGGAAGGTAATCGAACAAATCAGTGAAGTATTTCCAAACGTTTGCATTCCCGTATTTCCGAAGGCATTCGTCATAAAACCCATACCTGCCATGCACATCCAAGGAGACACAAAACGAAAACAGTGCCATGTTCAGAACAGAGTCTGCAACAAAAGGGAAAGCCAATTATATTATTGTATCCATCCATTTCGTCAGGATTCTCGTGATCTCTTTACTGGCAGTTATATGTGTGTACGATTCTGCTTGAGAAATCAAAACTGGTTTCATTTCAGCAGAGCCCTACTCTTCTGCTTGAGAACTTCGTTAAACCTTAGGAAAGCCAGAAGGTTTCACCCCTTGTGGTCATTACCACTGCTCGAAAAGGAAAAGACACAGTCATTCTGCACCACCCTTCCGCATTCACCTCAGGGTCATGCGACAAGTGTACCACCCTTGCGCAAAAACCATCCTTGCCCGATACTTGACACGCACAACTAATCTGCATAGTGACATGCAAGCCAGGAGATGACCTCTAAATCGGCACAAAATCAATGGTTCATCTAAAGCCAAAGAGACTTTCAGCAACACTTGACTGGAGAGAGAGAGAGAGAGAGAGAGAGAGAGAGAGAGAGAGAGAGAGAGAGAGAGAGAGAGAGAGAGACCATCCTCGCCCAATACTTGACACGTTCAACTAATCGGCGCAGTGACAGGCAAGCCAGGAAATGACCTCTAAATCGGCACAAAATCAATGGCTCATCTAAAACCAAAGATTTTCGGCAACACTCGACGAGAGAGAGAGAGAGAGAGAGAGAGAGAGAGAGAGAGAGAGAGAGAGAGAGAGAAAGAGAGAGAGAGATGGACGGACAGACAGGCGGCCGGACACTGTCAGACAGACAGACAGACAGAAAGTCGGGCAAAGGGCGCCTCCACCCTCCCTGCCTCCGTCCATTCTCGCCCCACTACCCCTCTCCATCCCTCCCTATATCACTGTCTCATTTCCTCCTCTCATGTCCCGGTTGCTCCCTTCCCCACTCCTGCTCTCCATCCCTGTTTCTCTCCTGCCTCCCACCTTCCTCCTTTCTTCTCCCCTGCTCGCTCTCGCTGCTGCTTCTTCGTCTTCTTCGCCAGGCGCAGTCCAGGCGAGTTCCCACACAGTCCAAGCACGACCTATTTAAAACTAAACAAAAAAAAGTCAAAAATTTATCGAAAAAAAACATATTCCGTGCACAATTCCAATACAAACAACCTGTGGCTAAGAGTCTCCTCAACATTCCGTACTAATTCAAAAATAAAAGTTCATAAAACACAACATACAAAAGAAGGGTTGAGAATTAAGAAATACCCCTCTACACCCCTTTTGAACCTTGTTTAGGCTAAGAATAAAAAAACAAAAAAAAACAGAAAAAAAAAACAAGAAAAACAAGAAAAAAAGTAGGTAGTAAATAGACTTTAATTAAGTTTAATTTTTAATAGAGAGATGGAAAGTTAAATGGTAGGATGGGAAAGATTGGAGTCTGAAGCGAGCGGTGGCTCGTACGCTAAACTGAGTAACACTCCCAGGATACCTTCGGGTAGACTTGTGAGGTCCGCAGCCTCAAATTGTCTTTGGAAGTTCGGAACTTTTTTTCTGTTTTTTTTTTATAACTATACTCTTCTCTCAATTTTCCTCACACTACCTACCTACCAGGTAGGAGTAGAATTTCGGAACTTTAGAATATAATGATAGACTCTTCGGGGAAAAAAAAAAAAAAAAAAAAAAAAAAAGTTGGGACTTACACTTGTGTGATCTGCCTGCTTTCATGATTGCCTCGGAGGATCGTGATTCGATCCCTGAACCTAACCTTCAATGCCACCAGTAAAGTCACGGTCTCAACAGAGTAATAGCCACGATCTGATTTCCCCCACAGATTTGACACCAAGAACACCAGTTGCCCAACACAACACACGACCGTAACCCAAAAAGACAAATCTTAGCAAAAGTCCCACAAAAAAAAAAAAAGGCAAGACATGGAGATGACCAGAAACACAAGACATGACGGTGGCCAAAAACAGAAGACACGAGCGTAACCAAAAAACACAGAATTGGAACGATAGATACGGAGAAGATTGGCATGAGGGAGCCATGTGTCGACTGGCCACATTGGGCTGCGTTTCTGGCCCCCCTCTGGATCAAAACTTCAAAAGACATGAATACAGAATGCCTGCAGAGTTGTGATGTGTGGGTTATGCGATTTCAGCACAATGCAATCCTTTGCCGCTTGGGAAAATAGTGGGCCTCGGGTAGGCGTCCGACCTTTTCAGAGGCCGAAACGAAATGACGTCCGCCGATCAGATTTATCAATGGCAGTCCTCGTCGGGCCCGACCTCCAAAAATTCAGGAGTTTGGGAAAACTGCCAGTTTTCCCTATTTTCCCACGCGGGAAAGGTACTAGTGGTTTAAGGCAGGAGTTACTTTGCCGATCGCTCCCCGTTGGGTAAATTACACTGCCACATCATCTTCGACTAAGCCAATACAAAGAGCACCACTACACAATACACAAAGCACCCGCGGGCAGTACAGAAGGCACGAGTACCAACAGGCCTGGCTCAGTTCATACATGCACAAACTGTTAAATTACAGACCAGAGTTCAAATTCCTGGATGAACAGAGCCAAATAATTCCGGAAGAAAAGACAGAAGAAACGAGAAGGAAAGGGGGAAAACAAGAAAGAAGCAAAAAGAAACGAGTACCCGATAATAGCCTGCCTTAGACCACCACACTGGCAATCCCCCACCCCTAAGTTTGCAACCATAAACATGGAGAGCAGCAGACAGGGCAGCAAATGCCTCCCTATTAGTAGGGGCCACAGTGAAATTGGACAAGTAGCTGTAGTTGTTTAAACCACCACAACTACGTCCCGAAAGTGCGGCCATGCATGATCCGAGAAGAAAATGGGAAGAACGAGCATGCCGCAATCGGCAAAATTAATTCGGAACAAACTGTCACCGCTCTTCTTGGTAACAACACTGGTGGTTTAAAAGGGGAACATGCACAAGGTCAACTGGTACAAATGGAGGGTTTTGTTTTGTTTCCCTTTTTTTGAACCATTTCTCAATGTATGCATGTCATCCTTGCGCAGGGGCCATGCTTAACAGAGGTCCCAAACGACACAAATAGAGGGTTTCTTTTCTTTCTTTTTTCGTTGTTCTTTTTTTATAGAGGGTTTCTATTTTCCACACAAGGTACTTTTTCTTTCGTTCAGGATTACTAGCACCTTCACAGCTTTGCCACAGATTGGCAACGAGGAATATTTCTATGATTTTTTTTATTTTATTTTTTTGGCAAGCCTAGCTTTGGTTCATTTAAAACTTGAAAGAGAAAATAGAGCGATTGCAAAAAAAAAACCAAAAACAAAAAACAAAAAAGAGCGATTGCCGCCTCCGGTCACCTATCAGAAATCGAGCAGATTCTGAAATTACAGCTAATAAATTAATAATGCTCCTTTCGCTACTTTGTTTGGTTGTTCTCTGCAGTACCTCTGTATAATTTGTTTGGTCGTTCTCTGTTGTACGGTGGCACCTTTGCTTCTGCATCTGTTAGCTCAAAGGGATGTCTCCAGTAATGCCCCTTCCTTTAATGGTACTCTAATACACTTCGTGGAGGAGCCTGCTGCTCACTTAACCCACCAGTTCAGACCAGCATAATCTGACAGAGCTACCTTGCACGGTTCGCAAGCCGGCAACCGCGTCCTTTCAAAGTGGCCTGCACCTTTTGCTGCCGGCCCAAGTCCGAATCGAAATGCTCTTGCCGCGCATTATACCGGTCAGAGCACTACTTACATTCATGTGAACTGGTGGGTTAATCGTACACAAATGTACCAGATAATAAACAGGTCATCATGGAATCAGACGGATGGAATGAGGCTACGGCTACCCCATTTGAGAAACAGACGAGAGAACCTTCACGGAGAAAGGACCCCCGTACCCAGAGATCCAGGGGTGAAGCCCTGGACCAGGCATTCCATTATGTGCCACGTAAACCGCCAGTGCCTTTCCCCCCTTGGGATCAGGTACCAGATAATAAACAGGTCATCATGGAATCAGACGGATGGAATGAGGCTACAGGCTACCCCATTTGAGAAAAAGACGAGAGAACCTTCGCGGAGAAAGGACCCCCGTACCCAGAGATCCAGGGGTGCAGCCCTGGACCAGGCATTCCATTATGTGCCACTTAAACCACCAGTACCTTTCCCCCCTTGGGATCAGGGGTGCGGTGGTTAAACCAACCAGTACACCAGTAACGAGCCATGATTTAAGGAAACGTACCGGCCACTACAGGAGCGCCCAAATTCATCCGACTCGAAACGTTTCTACTCTATATTTTTCCATGGCCGATAGCTGGGCCAAGTACTGGTGGTTTAAAACCGCAACATACGTGACTGCCAGCCACGACCATCCGACAACGAGGCTAGGTTCGAGCCTGCCTCCTCAGCATCTCCTTGCATCAACAGTGCTCACATGGGACTGCCAGCTGTCGACACCTGACAATAGGACACGTTTGAAATCTGCTTCCCACTAACATCTGCTTACATGAACAGTGCCCAAAAGGCGTCTGAAAACAGTTGACTGCAGCGGATTTTCCGCCAGCTTGCCATACATGACTGATCAAAATAAGAAACAGGCAACACGGTGCTGTCACGAATTGCTGAGTTGTGAGGCGAATGATAGGCCCTTACGTTGAGTCATTCTGGTTTTAAGAAATTGAGTAACTGGTCCAGTTACTCAATTTCTTAAAACCAGAATGACTCAACGTAAGGGCCTAGCGTGAATGTGCCCCCATCGGAACAATGAACCGCGAACAAGTCCTCCCAAACATACTGGGGTCGAGACAAAATATGGACTACACAATCTGTCACTTCTTCCTCACACTGACTGCCCAAGCAGCTCCCTCGTTCATCCACGTATCGAACGCATCATCCCATCATCGCAGAGAATGTGCCAAGACATAAGCAAATCCCTCCTTGCAGAGTGTGCACCGAATGCAAATTTTCTGACGGTGCTTAGATAGACATAGCAGATGACAGGCCAATGGGAGAACATAGGTGCAAATCAATTCGCAGATGATTATCATAGCCCCTGCAGGGCTCTTAAAGCAGATATCTGAGAACAGTCCGAGGAAAGATAGCATGCAGGGGTCAAACTCAGGGGTGAGAAGGGGGGGGTGGGGGGTGGGGGGGGGAGGAGGGAGAAGAAGGAGAGAGGTAAAGAGTAAAGAAGGGAAGGAGAAAACGGAAGGCAAGGGGAGGAGGAAAAAAGGAAAGAGGAAAAGGAGACAAGGGATTCAAGGAAGGGGAGAGGACGAGGATGGAGCAGAATAGGAGAAGGGAGACGAGGAGAAGAAAGAAGAAAGGAATGAGACGACTCGTGCCAAAGACACCAGAAGGCGGACCATTAACAAGAGACTGAGAGGAATCCTCATCCCTGAAGAGGAGCCACAGAACAGTCATATCAGCCTTTTTCGACTGCATAGCCTTCCCACTTGCCCAGTTTCTGCAGCATATTTCAAGAGAGAACTAGTAGTCGTGTCTATGTCGAATCTACAGTCAATTCTAGTGAAATCGATGTCCAGATCCTAAGATCCAGCAGCGAGAAGACTGTGACCAGCAGTGGCAAGACCTGGTGCTGTCAAAGTTCACCGGGTTGGCAACGCATAGAGACCCAACCACAAGTGATGTCCGCCCGGGCAACGCATAGAGACCCAACCACCTGACACCAAGCTTCGAGGGGGAAACCCTAGTGAAACCACCAGTACCTCCGACAGTTGCCACAGGTAACGCGCCCTGATGCGCTCGGATGAACAAGCCTGGACTGGAGCGCCCAAATTCATCCAAGTCCAAACACTTCCATTTCATTTTTCCCCGCGGTCGACATATGGTCGATGTACTGGTGGTTTAAAGTTTGAACAAGCCACTGTGTTAAGTGGACGCATAACATGAACGAATAGAAGCAAAGTCACAAACCTTGGCTTGCTGTCCAGGCCTTTTCGCACATTATCTGTGGTTTCAAGAAGGCACGAAGTGAGGTGATCTTAGATGGTCTCCGATCATGTTGCTCACTCGTCATGGCCTCACCACCATTAACGTCAATTGAGTTAATGTTACTTGCTGTCAATTTGAACTTTTTAGTCTTTTCTGTTTATCTAGATGACATGATGAGTCAATAATTTGCTTTATTTATATTAACTGTAGCTGCTGCAGAATCTGCTATTGGGCTCGCTATTCTTGTTATTACTTTTCTAATTCGAGGAACTGTTTAAATCTACCCACACCAAAACGAGTGGCCCATTTCGAATCCGAGGCACTATTGGAGCGAAACCCGCACCGTTTACGGTGGTACCCCGTCAGTCCTGCATTCACCCAGGTAGGCCGAGTTTTTAAATTGAAATCGTGAAGTTTTTTTCCTCTTTCTTTTTTCCCTTTGCCCTTGTCAAATTGGTCGCCGACCCCCCTCCATTTCCGGCCCTAACTCCCTGGAAAGCCGACTTCAGGCTGTCGGGGGGAGTGGTGGTTTAAGAAAGGCGCCTTGTGCATTGCATAAGCAGGTGCTGGAAGCCTTTTATAAAGCATCGTTTTAAACATGTATTCAAGAGGTCATAGCTTCTTCCCCTCTTGTTGCTTCAATGCTGCTCCTCTCTCGTACTGGCTTGCATTAGAATTGCTCACAATCCTTGCTTCATTCCCAAGGTGGGGTGTGACGTTGACTCAAGTAAGCCAAGAGGTTAGCTATACTACCCTAGTTCTGATAGCTATACCATTCTAGCTCTGCATAAAGAATGTTTAGTATCTTTCCATTCCCAAGAAAGATAAGTCTG